CAGAAGGCACTAGAGCAGTTTTTAGGTGGTTTTGTGACAATGTCTGCCCGGCCCAGGTTTAGTTTTGCTAATCCATTGGTGGCTGCTGGCTTCCCTGCAGCATGCTCATTCCGTACACTGCTCTCATTTCCCTTCTGCCTTTCCGTACTAGATTCTAATCTACAGAGATACAGGAATAACAAGCCAGCTTGTAACAAGCAAGTTTTCCAGCATGACCATTTCGCCTGTGACATTGGTATTCTTACAGGAAGGCAAATATATCTTGTTTATTTTTGTGTTAGTGGGTTAAAATCAGGGAAAATATTCGACTACGAGTCAGATTTTTTCCCCTACATATTTATGTTCCTAACTAACGTAATTCCCATATGATAGTCTTCTATATTTTTAATAGACATTTTCTGGTATTCTTAGGGGTATGAGTTACTCTTTCAGAACTGAACTAATCGGCGCAATGATGCTTCTTCAAGCCTGAAATCATCACTTGGAGAAGCTTATGCAGCCCTGCTCCCCTAATTTTCAAACCTGATAATTAAAATTTTAGAATCGGTGTCAACTCTTTAATTATTGAACAGGTGAAATGAGGAAGGAAGTAGGAGTGTGTAGGGAGAAGTATTACACATAGTGGGGAGCAAAAGAAAAATGGTTGATAACGTCTCTCAGAAGCTTACTGACAGTTGGAAAATTACTGTATTTTTAGTCCTCATCTTTTTTTTTTTCCCTGTAGTTTTAACTTTCTACTTATAGAAACATAGTTGCTGCTGTTAGACACTGAAAATAACCCCTAACCTTAAATGTCTGTTGTCTGAAATATCTAGAAACATTTGTCCTTTTCTGAACAAAGCGTTCCGAGCCCCTCGTTGGGAAGGGATGAGCTATCCCTGTTCTCTCGCCTGGCCTCTGCGTGTGGGGAGAGCGTCACTGCCCATCCCTGCCATTTCCCATGCGGCGTGCCTCTGCGCACGTGTGAGCAGGCCTGACCTCAGCTCGACTTTGTTTCTGGTTTAGGGGTCAGGGTTGTGCCTTCAAGCTTGACTTAACTGGTTCAGATGTAGCCCGGCAGCTGCCGGGTTTGAATGAGGTAAATTGTGACCATGCGCTCAGAACAGCAGAAAATAGGTCAAGTGTGGGTTGGGTTTACATAGAAAGCGCTACCGTCGCCTGGTAAGCCTAAGCCTCTTCTCTCCGCTCAGACAAAGCCGTTTAAGGTTAACTGGGAAGTTACCATCTCCCCAGAAAACTTTCTAGCCTTCTGGAGCCTTGGTGTTTCTGCCTAGCGTTGCCTTTTGCGAGACGCCGGGAGCGGGAGGGAGGTTGCCCTAGTTGCAGGGCGGCGCGGTGGGGTCGGGTCGATGTGTCCCCCCCGGCACGGTCCCCTTTGGAACGGCGTTTCTGTGCCAGCTTGTGCGGAGCAGCACGGCCCCGCAGCCTCGGGCGCCTCTCTGACCTCCTGCCCACCAGCTGCAGTGGCGCGGCAGCTGGGGTGGCCTTTCACTTGTCAGGAAGGAATAAGGAATATACTGTTTGCCAGTGATTTATGCACGCGTATGTGTCTAGAAAGATGGGTGATGCAAGAGATGATCTGTATGTTTTAGTCTCAGCTGAATTTGATGATTTCCCTGCAGGGTTTTGGTGTGGTCCGTGTGGCCTTGGCAGCGCTTGCCTGGTGATGCCCTCGGGGGTGTCGGTTGCTGCCAATTTCTCTGTGTTTTACTTAGGTTCTCATCTTTTGCCACCAGAAAAAAAGTCTTGTAACATGGCAGAAGGATACTACCCATTAATAGGCCATGATGTTGTTAAGATCTTTGGTATTCTGCCTGTCTGGATTTTATGTCACTGTTGTTTTCTTGGTGTTTTGGTTTTGGTTTTTTTTTTTTTTTTCCCTGCTTACTCTGATGTCAGGCATGACAACATTAAGATTGAAGGTTTGTTAAAAAGTTATAATCAGTGAAAGAGTTACAGATCAGTGATATATTCAGATATGTCAGGTGACACAATCAGTGAAAGATAAGAGAGGAAGAAAAAAGGAAGGCTAGTTATCAAGGAATGAAAATAAGATCCTTTTTTTTTTTAAAGGGAGAAAATCATCCTCTAAAGAGAAAATACTCTTCTAAAAGATGACATCAGAGGACTAGTAGAAATTCTCATCAGTCTAGATTTTAAAACCAATGCTTTTTGGTGCCACTGCTCTGAAGACCGTTGGGGCAATCGGTAGGCAGCTGTTGACTTACCTGGTTCCTTGGTTTTCCAACTGCAATTTCCAAATTGAGTTTCTATGCAGCTGAAGTTCATGCAGTTGTAAAAATTATTTGGTGCAAAAAGAAAAAAAGGGCGGGGGGGGGCTGGGTTCATTTTATAGAAACTGATTTTGAGATACTCACTCATGAAACAAGAAGAAAACTGAAGGTTCAAGCTTTTGATGCTTTGATACCTGAATTTTTCATTTGCATTGTTTGAATTTAAATGTGGTCCCTGTACCATTAAAGAACAAACAAAGTGCTTGTTTCTCTGTGCAGCACATACTGTGTAAACATTGTAAACAGGACTCTCAAGTTGGTTATGTACTAGTTTTCATTTAATTCGTGTCCTAAATTATCAGAAAACCTCTAAGCAGCCAGAGGAAGCTATAGTTAATTAAGCCACAGATGGTGAGGACTAATGTGGTGTTGACCTTTGCGAGGACTGCAAAATCTACTTAGTCTTTCTGTGTAAAACACTAGCTAAAATGAGTTCCCACTGATATTAAAAAGATGTCCTTGATGCATTGAAGCCAAATGCAGAGACACCCTGGCCAAGGAAGGCACTTTCCCAAACAAATGTTAGCAGGTTCTAATGCAGGGCGTGTGTTGAGGCTTGGTCTTCAGGGCTCCGATTTAAGCCTTTCTAGTGCCAAAAGCCATTGTTTTTCCAGGACTGGTTTTCCTGGAATGCATATTGTCAGTTCTCCTCTTCTTCATTGCAGATGGAGAGTTGACAGCTGACTGGAGTTTCTATACCCTCTTACAAGCAGCATGAAGGCTGTGTGAATGGGGGTAGGGGCTTGAATCTGCTTTTTGGTTGTTGTTTTGTGCTCTGGGGTTTCATCTCTTGATTTAATGAACTCGTTTCTGCCCCTCACGTTTGTGAAGAATGACTTGGAGAAGTATTTTAAAATGCTGAGGAAACATCTTGCTTCAGTAGTGCAAGTCCTGTTGGGAAGGTAGATGTGGAAACCTGCAGGCGTTCCCACTACGCATGTGCCCGGCTGCCCAAAACAGAAAAGGAATTTGTGGTCATTTTAGCCTTGCAGAAGGCACTTTGTGTGGTCTTCGGGCAGCGTGCACGTTTGGCTCGTCCAGGGATGCCTCTCAGAATCTTGGGCAGTATTTTGTTTGTGGATGGGGCTTCAGGAGAAGAATTCTGTATGTATTTGGATTTGGACTTGTTTTTCTGTGGGTACTGTCTTTGAAATTCCTGTTTGATTCATGACTTAAAGGAATTTAGAAGCATTATAAGTGATCCGCACTTGTCACCTGTGGCTTTGAATGATAAATTATGTTTGTCCGAGTAAGCTCTCTGAAAATGCTTCTCTGAACAAAGATTTCTACTTGCTGGTTAGAGCAGTGTGGTATCTTAACCTGATGGTATGGTCTTAAGTTTCCATCCTTTTCCATCTTTTTGCACCAGAAGAGCAGATATACTCAGACAAACACTGGATTGCTTTGTTATTTGGGAAAATTTCATTCTTCTCAGGACTTCCTAGGAGTAGAGCACGTCCCAGCAGGTGAGAATTCTCACCTAGAGGGGCGTCCAGCCAACTCAAGTATTCTTTGGATAATTACACAGAAAGTCCACTGCACCAGAAGTGAATTACTCTTTTGGTCTGGAAAGAAGGCAGAATAGCAGCAAAGATCTAAAAAACCTGACATAGATTGGCAAGCTTCTGATAGTCACGTTGCTTCATGTGACTGTCCTCCAGAAGGGCAGGAAGGATTATCTTGACCATATCTTTCCAGCCCATACGCCCTTTTTCTTCTTCCCAGTACTGCATATAATCATTTGTGGAGCAAGAGGCACAGCCGTATGAAGTACTTAAAGAGCTTCCTATGGTAGATTTTAAAGAAGAAAATTGCAGTCCCATTAATTCGATTTGCATTCTGATTTGCATTTCATACGGATTTCAAACCAGCATTAACATCCTCCTGGAGGAGGTATTCCGCAGCTTGTGGAAAAACTAGTCTAGGAGAGGGTACCGTATGTACTTCTGTGAGTGAGACTACTTTGAAATGAGGAAAAGTCTGGAGAAAAATCCTACAGGACGTTTAATTCTTCTGTGGGTTAGTCTGTCCGTCTTGCTGCTTTGACTGGGGAGGAGGGGAAAACTGAAGATAATAATGGCCAAGGTTCAAATCTGTAGACACAGTTGTTTCTTGAGCAATATAAATACAGGGTAAGGGAAAAGACTGGGCACTGCAGAGTCATCTGCTCGTCTTCAGTGCTAAGACCACAAGTCGTGAGCCTTGCCTGTTGCCCTGTCTCCCTGTTTTTACCAAAGCTTGTGGTGTGTGCTAAAACAATGTGCTTAAGGCCATCACCTTATAGTCTAATACATTATGCAGTTAATTTCCTGGGTTTTAGTTGTTCAGATTTAAGATTAATGGTGGAGAAAGGTCAGTCATGGCACATGCCTTTCTTTTTTTTATGGATATGTGTAGTATGTACACAAAAGAACACAATTTTTGAGATTTCAGGAACCTTTTTTTTAGTATCTTGATGCTGAGCTTCAGTTGTCAGTTACAATTTTGCTTTGCTGTACTGATTTCTATTGACCAATGTATAGCACGTTCGTGTCTAGAAGCAAAACCTTTTTTTTTTTCCCCAGTGATTGACAATGTGTTAAATGTGTGTATGTGGGGGGTGTATTTAGAAACCCTGCGTTCTCTTTGATAGCCTCTACATAATCTCGGTCAGACCTGCGTGCAGTTTGTGTAATGGATCTTTGACCTCAGTTGTGCCTTTTGTAGCTCACCTTTGAGATGAGCTCATCTTTCTCCAAGAGTGAGGAAAGAAGTACAAAATGGACTTCGCAGTCTTCTTTTCTAAGTGTTCACACCAGGCACTCTCAATCAAAGGTACTGATATGTCATGGATCTGAATAGGAGATAGGGAAAAAAAAAGTTTCAAATGCACTATCTGTAGGATCACTGGTATCTTCAGTGTCAAGTTCAAAGAAGGCAAAGATGCTTAGGAAGGATGTGAAATCTAAAAAAAGAAAAGCAGCAGTATGTATTGTCTTCAGAAGCAAATCAAAAGTGGCTCAAGATGACATAGAGACTTAAAAACTTTGCATAAAGAACTCATCAAAGTAGAATAACGTTAAGGGTAACAGGTCTGACCTCATGGTACCTGATGAATGTGTGTAGTCTTGAAATGAAAGTAAAAATTTTCATGGTTGGGACTGAAGGTGTTAGTCAAAATGTACAAGATCTGCATATTAACTGCATTTTTAAGTCAGCCAGATTTCTGGTATTGCAGTGCCTCAGTCCGTTGCCTAGGTCTAATGCTTGTGGATCTGAGAGGGGAAATTTTTGGAACAGGAACCTCTTGCAGCTGCTGTGAAGCACATGGGAAGGAGGACAGGTGAATGATCATCACACAGCTCCGGTTCCAGGGGCTGTTGGGTTCCCTTGGCATATCATTCCCTCTCCCCAGTGGTGGTGTTGCTTCTGTATGTAGGATCAATGCAAAAACGGCTTTGCACAGGAAAGTAGAACAGCTAATACCCTTTTTAGATTGCCTTGGGAGAGGAAGTGTTTTGTTAGCCTGCCACCCCTGAATAAATTTTAGTGTTGACCTTGTGCCTCTGATGATCAGTGTACTTGACTGGTTGGTGTTTTTAATCTGGTGGTAGAGGTCCTGTGGATCTTCCCCTTCACTTTGTTCGGCTTTACACGTGTTAAAATGGTCATCTTGACCATTCCTTTTGAATCTGAGGCCATATCCTTTTCAGAAGCATAAGGAGAGAGAGTAATTTTCTCTAATAACCGAAGCATTGATACATTCTCCGTAATGGAGCACAGCGAATCTTCAAGTGTCAGGAATTGAACTTTGAATTCGAAATAGGCATCCTGTGATCAGTGGGTTAGCAGGAATAATCTCATCCAGATGAATAGAGAGAAATTGCTCATGTCACTTGAGGGCCTGGCAGCAACACATGATTCCCTGAGTGTTGCTTGTATCTTCATATTCTATGGCTGGAGCTCTTCATAATAAATTGTGAAACATCAAGGAACTTCTTGGAGATCAAGGAAAGAAATTACTTGATCTCAGCTGCAGTACTGAATCTCTTGGCACAAATGAATGTTCCTGCGGCTCACGGATTTCCAAGACAGTTTTCTGTACGAGGAGTCGCCAGGCTGCAGTGCAGCTTTATCTCTCTGCCACAGCCTCAAGGGCAGAAATAGCAAGTTTGCTCTGAAATAAAGAAAAAATAGGTATTCTAAAAGTCTAGAGATGAATGATGATTTAAGCCATGCTTTCAAGGATATGAACCAGATTTTGTGCCTAGTTTTTCCTTGTTAGGACAGTGCCACCAGGTATGTCTTAATTTCTGAGATGATGTCCTACTCAAATAGTGAAAAAGAATCTTTTCCAGGAGAGCTGAATACAATAAAAACTAAAGTATGTCTTATTTGAAATTACCTAATTAACGAAGGCCTACGTATTTGAAAATCAGTAATGGTGTTTCTCTCGGAGTGTTTGTTTCTCTTAAAATACAGCTATCTCCTATGCATTATCTGTGTGGTTTTTATATCTATGTTTATGTTCAATATGTCCATATTAAATTTTACAGATACAGCAAACAGTTGTGGTTTGTTTTTTTTTTTTTTAAACAATTCTTTCTGCATACCTGTAAACACTGAAGTCTTTAGAGGGCAATTTTTAGCTTGTAGTAAGACAGTATTTATGAAAGTGTGATCCTATTAATAGCTTACGAGTCTGGCCACATGTGGGATCTGACATAACATGTTCCCATGAAATAACTTTGAGCACTATGTTGCACTTTTAAGTTTTTTCTAAAAATAACACAGGGATTTGTAGGCAATCAGTAAAATTAGCATCAAACTACTTAATACTGTACTCTAAAATACATCTAGGAAAATAAACAGAAATGTTACAAGTAAACATAACATATGGTTCTTTTTTTAATCTCTACTTTAGGACGACGTAGACAGTCTAAACCCAGTTCTCAGGGATAACCCGCAGTTACATGAGGAGGTAAAAGCCTGGGTAAAGGAACAAAAGGTTCAGGAGATTTTTATGCAAGGTAATTATGTGGGAAATTGTGTTATTTTTATTCTGTGTTAGCTAGTTTAAGGCCATTAGTTCTGTGGGGTTCATCCCATAGCATTTGTGATACAATGGAGAATATATTTCTAACTTGGAAGTTATTTTTTGGAAGTATTTATTAATTCCAGAAAACAAGACTACGTAAGAAGCTGTGCATGACTTCTTCAGACTGTTCTTAACTTGCTTGATATCGTGGTGATTACAGCAAAAGCTGAATATCATTAGTCTGAATGTAGATACTTTGTAAAATTTTCTGTGAAAAATAAGTGGGAATGGCAACCACACGCTTTTTAGCATGTTTAAAACTGTTCTGTGCTCTGTTAGTGTTACTATTATGTGTGATAACTTCTCCAGTATCTGTCTGTGCTTGTAGTTCTTCACAGTTCTGTCACAGATGAAGAATACTTTCAGATCCCCACCCCACACTCTCACCCCCAATTGAAAAGTGCCTTTCAAATCAGTTATGATTTTGTAACTCGATTCTAATGCTGGAAGGTTGCAGCAAATGCATACATCATTTTTACACTGTAGACACAAGTTATGTGAAAGCTAGTATGAATTAGAATAAACTATTTTGGCTCAATCTTGCTGGCAATAAAAATATTATATGTATTTGCAGTATACTAATTAACTTTCTGCAGAACTGACAGGCAGCTCTACAGAGGCATTCTTAGCAATGAGGGGCAGAAACTTACCTCTCTGGGTCTGGGTTGAAATTCCCAGGCAAGCAGCAAAGCAATTTGAGGACAAAAATGCTTAAGCAGTCATTCTGAAATTAAAACGGGGAGGGGAGCAGTAAATAATCTGATATTATAAGGATGGTGCTGAGGTTTGCTTGCTGTCTGGTTTCTTTGATAAAACTAAGATTAGAAGACCAAAGGAAAATGGTAAGTATAATATTGAAGTTAGAGTAAAAAACTTGTGTCTTTTCCTTCTGTGGAGTTGTTAATTTGACTAGATGTGGTTATTCTTAATGGGCCACAGAGAAAGGATGCTGAAAAAAGCAATGCGCGGAGTTGTGTAGATAGTAAGTTGGCGTATCAGCATTAGTCATTTTAGATTTTATCTTAATATCCTCCGATACAACATGAGTTAATAGTCTGGTAATGAAATTTGCAGCCAAAACTGGATTGAGAGGTGATGTGAAATCGGATTAGGGCTATATGAAAAGGAAACTAAACTTGGAGCTTGTTTATTGTATTTCATTAGAGTAACAATAGGACGACAATTAGAAAAGCCTATCTGTACACTGGTACAGAATCAATACTAGAGCAAAGCCCCAGCAATATTGAAGTAGTCATCTAAATGAAACTGCCAGCCCATCATCCACACAACTCGTTTACATCCCATCATTCCAGGAACTGTATTTTTGTCTTTCTGCATAAAAATTTATATAATTTCTCAAACAGATGTTAGGATGCTTAGAAGTGCACGAATTAGTAGTATCTGAGATGATGAGGTCAATCTAATCCAAACGTCCTTGCAGACTGGCTCTCCTTGTCTAAGGAGAAGCTGCAGTTGAAATCCACTTGCTCACCTGACGTGACGCAGTGTGGCCCGAGGACGGACGTGCTTCCTTGCGCAGTGACGTGCCACCCACCGCGAGGGCCTTTGCCGTGCCACCACCTCGGCCCCGTGGGACGGTGGTCAGCTGGCAGAGACTGTTCTCGCCTTCTCCTGGGGCATAATCTGCTCCCGGTCACAGAGACGTCGCAGTTGGCACAAACCTTTCAGTGGCTTACGGACAGCCCTCTAGCAGTGCTGGCTGCTGTAACCTAGTCGTGTCATCCCTCCTTTCTCTTCCCCTCCTTCCTCTGGTTTTCTTCACCTTCTCCATTATTATCATTTTCCTGTTCCCTGCAATTTAAGCAACACTTTCAGTTCTACCTTGTCTAGATGCATCTGTTAAGGTTGTTACCATATTCTCTTACTTCATCCTCTACAGCATTTTTAGGATCCAGCCTTTTCCGTGTTATCTCATGATGCTGAAGCCGTCATCTTGTATCTTACTATTTTCTTCTTTGACGACTAGCACTGCTAAAACGGCAGTTTATCTGAAGAAGGAGGAGGGCCAGAGATAAATGTTAAAATCGGGTTCCAAATGTTTGAAAAGAACCACGCCAGTTTGAGGAGGGGGAATTTTGGTCAAAACTGTTCCAATTATATGCAAGACTGAGACTAAGGAAAAAAATTGGCCCTCATGACCTTTTCTTTGGGCGGCAGTCACAGCAGTGTGCTTTGCAGTAGAGATTGTAGGTTTGGCAGGAAAGTAGTTTATTCCTTGTTTTAAAAAAAAACAAACTCCTCCCAAACTTGGCCAAGTGGAAAACTTTTGGGACAAATAAAACCAGTTCAAGGAACATAGTAAAGTGTCTTTGATTTTTAACAGTTAAAATCTTTTAATTCTTTTCTTCCTATTAGATTTATTATCACTACCATCTCTGAGGCTGCGTGTATAATAATCTTCTTGAAACACTGAGTGTGCTTCAGCCCTGAAGATATTTCCTGATAGTACTGCACAGGCTGTTTCAACAATGTGTAGCTGAGCGTGATTCAGCCAGGGACTGGAGACAAAGCCAGGCTTTTCCTGTAATGGCTGCTTGTGGCTGGGCTGGGCTGGGCTGGAGCTGAGCTGTCCTGTGTCGTATGACCGCAGTTTAATCTTTCTCCTTCTTCCCAGCACCCCAGCGGTAGATAAAGTCTCTTTTAAAAATAGATAGGATAACAGCTGGGATATGAAGGGCAGACATGGATTAGAACAGGGAGTAAGAGGAAAGAAATTGGCACTGGGTCAGTGCAGAAGAGTGTAACAGAATCTGGAAGCTGATGGAGAAAGGAGGATGGAGCCTGTAAGCTGAGAAGACTGGGAAAGGACTTGGAAGCCGGTGGCCTGGAATCGTAAATGCTAAAATGAGACAAGAAGCTGGGGAGAGGAGAGAGGCTGGTTCTGGTTATGCAAGAGCCTGAAAATCATTGTGCAGTTAACAGTAGGATGCGAGAGGGGAGGAGCTGGGATAGGAGAGGAGGAATGGGAAATTTGCACGGAAAGACAGGCAAAATTTTACTGAGACTGTCTGAACAAGGCAGAGCTTTGGGACAGCCATGAAAAGTTTGAGACGTGTTGGGTTGGGTCAGACTTGCCAGAAGTGTGGGAGCTGAGCTGGAGGCGTTTTGCAGGGGCATATGGAGTAAGGGTTGGAGAGAAGCCATCAGGAAATGTGTCCCCACGGGAACCCCATCTGATCCAAGATGAGGAATGTGAGACATAAGCTTGTAGATTCTTCCTCTTTTTCTGCCCATATGTATCAGTGATTGGCAGTGCCTGTGCTGGTGCACTTCTGACCCTTGTCTGTGCAGCTGGAAATGTGCTCCGGGGAGGAGCTGTCGCCGGTAGCTCAGGGGGCTCACTGGGTCTTGAGGTTTCAGTTGTGCAGTGAATGCTGTGGATGTGGGTGAAAAGGGTGCCATTACATGGTGTTTTTGTTTCCCAGCTGTTCTAAAACCTAGCTAATCACATGCAAAAGGTATTTCAAAAGGCCTTGGTAAGGTTCCAGAGTTAAACCCTAAGACCACTTGGAAATATCTACATTATTATTGCTTTTGCACTTCTCTTGATCTGTCAAGTGTTAAACACAATCCTTATGATCACAAACTTTCTCATGCAGAGAGTATAATGGACCCAGTCGTGTGAATATGGATATTTTACTTGAGAAGGCTCTCTCACCTCCAAGGTCCCTGGCCCCTTTGCTGCAGATGTTTGAGCTTGCTTAATGTACTGGGGAGGGACTGGAAAAAAATGATCTTCAGGAAAGATGGGGGAATGCTGGCCTTGCCTGTGTGGTTGAGCAACTAGGCATTCTTAAATCATTTAACTTGGGCTTTTTGTAGATTGTTACTGACTGATTTTGCTTCCATTCCTATATGCCTGACCTGGGGTTTGGTTGTGGAAGTAGTGAAACCCACACAGTTGGAACTGAACTCGGTGGCAGCATTGCTTGGTCATACAAGATGCCGCGTAAATATGAAATGCAATGAAACTTAGGGTCCTGGTGATCAAATGGGGCACTGAACATGAATAAAATTGTTGAATCTCAATTTCTGGGTCTTGAAACCAATTGTAAAATAAGTACTGTATCATACTGTCTCCCCACCGCCATGGGCTTTTGGAGGTGAATTAAACTGATCTTTTTGCAAAGGGACAGTGTGTGGGGTTTCTTTGCAGTTGACATATCAAAACAGGAGCTAAAGTCATAGCGTGTGTGTTTTTGAGTGTTCCTTGTGGCCATGGCAGGGACGGGATCACTCAGCTGCCTTTCCGACTGCTGTAATGGAGAGAAGCTCTGTGGTCACTTATGGGAAAGACTTGGCAGATGCAGAGCCTAACCACCGAGATGTAAATCTTTTCGCCAGCAAAGCATCTGGGCATGTGACTAGCCTGCTAAATAGCTTCTGTATAACCTGCTGCTGCCACTTTCTAGCCTTTCAGATTACTTTTCTGTGGTTGCTGTTTGAAGGCAGGAATTTTCCCATCGTTTGTCATCATGGTTGCAGAAAGATTTAGATAAGAAAATTGTATGTTGAAAATGTTAACATAATTGACCTTAAAGCATACTTAAATGTACCATTTGCATTTCAAAATGTCTTCCTGAATAAAAGTAAAATCCACAAGCAGTGCTGTGCCAGAATTGCCCATAGTTTGCTGTCCGTGCCATGCGCTGCATGTTTCCTATGAAGCTTAAAAAACCAGGAAAACCCCTTTATACTTTTTTTTTCCTCCCTGAATTTCTCAATGGCTTTTTTATTTCTTCCCCTTCTAAAGGTCCGTACTCCTTAAATGGTTATAGGGTGAGAGTGTACAGACAGGATTCTGCCACCCAGTGGTTCACTGGTATCATTACTCATCATGATCTCTTCACCCGCACTATGGTTGTTATGAATGACCAGGTGAGTTTGATTTGCGATACTCGGAAAACAAGCTTCAAGTAAACTACACGTTAAGAGTTTTAAAATTTTGTTGTGGTACCCTGAAAGACCCTGAGTTGTTCAGTTCCAGCAGGGCGAGTCACTGTGCTGAAACCACCGCATGACTTTGCATTGGAGTAGTGTTAACTAGCAGTTAAAGCCATCCTGAAGCTAAACATTTGTGCAATGTTATGATTAATACCAGTCCTCCAGTTTTGCTTTTCTTCTGCTGTCACTGTTTGACTACTGCAGTCTTTGAAGTGAAGCGATCTAGTTTTAAGAACTGGTCTCCCCTGTCAGCTCTGTTGAGAGTTTCTTTTCTCAACGCTGAAATCTTTTAGTGTATTACTTCTTTGCAGTAGCGATTACTTCTTCCAAGCAATTGAAATACCCACTTTCTGCAATTTATTGAGTTAAGCATTTACTGCAGCCCTAATTTACATTTACTGTGGTGGGTTTCAGATGTATTTCTGAAGTTGATATTACAAAAAGAATTACTGCTGGTATATTTAGTGGCAGTAATGAATTCTATTTCAGGAGACCAGAGTAATGACTCAACGTTAATATGGTGAATGACCCATCTGCCTTGAAATGTCTGACAAAATCATGTGTGACAATAAGGATTTAAGTCTAGCCTAATACTCAGATACATTCTTTCCCTTAATTTGCTCTAATTAATTTTCTCCAAATATTATTTTTTTCACTTTGTGACACATGGATTAAAGATCTAGTTAGCATTTCCTTCTTGCTGAAGTACCACCCCTCACTCGTAACACTCTGCCACTCTTAAGAGTTCTTCTGTCCAGTTTTGGTTCCTTTCTTTCAGCAGTTATGCTTTTGTTGGGAGCAATACTGTAACGTGCTTCTGCGGCGTATCTTACAGAATATTAAGTACATTTTTAAAATACTTGTATATTGGAATTGCTACTTAGGAGTTACTCTGTGGAGACCTCAGTGTCTCTTAATTTCAAATTTTCAGGTCATTGAAGGGGAAGGAAGTGGTGGTGGGGTACTTTTTAAAAAAAGACATTATTTTTACAGTGGTATGTAAAGACGTGTTTACTTTGGTTTTTACTCTATTCCCAGCCTTTGTTGAGAGTCATATGTCGGTTCTGCTTGTCAGGATTAAGTAGGCTTTTCTCTGATTAGTCTCAAGCACACAAAATAGACTGGTGAACTCCGATTCGGAAAATACAGATTGGGCAGTGCCTGAACATCTGCTGATTATTACTTTTTCTTTTTTTAATAAACCAGGTGTTAGAACCTCAGAATGTTGATCCTTCTATGGTTCAGATGACCTTTCTAGATGATGTTGTTCACTCTTTGTTGAAAGGTGAAAATATTGGCATCACTTCACGCCGACGGTCTCGTTCCAACCAGAACAGCAACACAGTCCACGTAGATACATTTATCTTTTTACCTAAGTATTTTCGTATATTATGAGTATTAAAAATATATGTTAAAGTCGCTAATTAAAATTGCATTTAAGTCCATTAATCACAAAATTATTTTCAGGGTCATTATACACGTGCGCAAGCAAATAGTCCCAGACCAGCAATGAATTCCCAAACTGCAGCACCAAAACAGAATTCTCACCAGCACCAGCAACAGAGGAATACTCGGCCAAATAAGAGGAAAGGCTCTGATAGCAGCATGCCTGATGAAGAGAAGATGAAAGAAGAAAGATACGAGTATATAGGTCGAGGAGGTAAAAGCAGTTATTGGAAAGGGAGGGAGAGCTTCTTAAAACCATATTAGACTGAAAATGTGATAGACATGTTTTTATCTCTTACAGAAAACCCCAAAACCAAAAATAAACACTTCCTTAGTAAAAGAAGAAAACCTGAAGAGGATGAAAAAAAATTGAATATGAAGAGACTGCGGACGGACAATATCTCAGATTACTCTGAGAGCAGTGACTCAGAAATTTCAAATAAAAGATTAACAGATTCGTCCTCAGAGCAAAATTCAGAAAATGAGTTAAAAAGCAAGAACACTTCAAAGATAAATGGAGAAGAAGGAAAATCCCAAACTATTGAGGGAGTAGAACAGACACTAACAGATAGACGGTCTCCATGGGATGAAATGCAGGAGGATAAAAAACATGAAGAGACAGAAAGACTGAAGTCATCCTTCTTAGCAGAATGCCAAGGATCCACATGTTCAAGAGTGCAATGCAGAAAAACATCATACTGCGGAATTAAAAAATGAGCAATTTATACCCAGACCTCCTACTCCGAAATGTGTTGTTGACATTACTAATGAAAACAACTCCGAAAAGGAGAGCCAAGATAATGCTGCAAGTACCTTTGGTTTGCAAACGGTTCAGAAAATAGAATCTCACAGCAGCGATTTAAAACAGCAGTTTGCAAATGCAAATTTCCTTGAAGCAAGAAAACAGGAAGCTGATCAAAGTTGGGTTAGCGGTGTTGTTAACAAAACGGATTTGATACAACCTGGGGTTGTAAAAACGTTACCAGTAAATGAACACTTAAATCCTGAAAAAGAAAAAGTGCAGTATGGCTCGTTTATGTCTTCGTTAAATGTAGCTTCTCTAGCAGAAGAGAGTAAACTGCATAAGCAAAGTCCAGTCCCCGATTCTGTGAAGTCAAAACCTAGTGCTTCAGTTGATCATCCTAAAACAAAGTCACCAGATGTTAAGCCTAAATTCACCCAATCTTCTGATACTGTGAAGTCTAAGGTTAGTTCCCAAAACAGCCACGCTACTGGATTAACAAGGTCAGCCAATAAAACTGATCATGATTTGCCTAGGTCTAGTTTTCATCCGGTTCCAGCTAGAGTTAGCGCTCTAGAAGCTACTAAAAGTCCTCTTATCATTGACAAGAATGAACATTTCACGGTGTACAGGGACCCCACTCTGATTGGACAAGAAACAGGAACTAATCACATTTCACCTTATTTGCATCAGCATAATTATCCTCTGCATTCCTCATCCCACCGAACCTGTTTAAATCCAAACGCTCATCATCCTGCATTAACTGGTTCATCCCATCTGCTAGCTGGGTCTTCAGCTCAGGCTCCCTTGTCCGCTATTAACACTCACCCCCTTAGTACCGCATCTCACCATTCTGTTCATCACCCTCATCTACTTCCTGCAGTGTTACCCGGAGTGCCTGCTGCCTCCTTGCTGGGTGGCCATCCGCGACTAGAGACTGCTCATGCTAGCAGCTTAAGCCATTTGGCATTAGCACACCAGCAGCAGCAACAGATGTTACAACACCAGTCTCCACATCTTCTTGGACAAGCTCATCCTTCTGCTTCCTATAATCAGCTAGGGCTTTATCCAATTATTTGGCAGTATCCAAACGGAACACATGCTTACTCAGGACTCGGTCTGCCCTCCTCCAAATGGGTCCACCCAGAAACTCCGGTTAACGCAGAGGCTTCCTTGAGAAGGGTAAGTTGTACTCATTTCTTAATGCAGTATTTAGTCAGGGCTAGTGTCTCCCAGAAGTCGTTTTCTAGATACGGACTGGGTAGTTTGTATCGCAGAGTGTGCGTCAGCGGTGGGGATTTTGAGTAGACACAGAACTAAAGTGTGGAGTGGAAATCCAGTAGTAACCACTGTCTCTGAGCAGACACGAGTAGGGAGTTCTTCCAGATTTCCTAAGTATTTTAAAGTAAGACAAAATGTTTGGGTTTTGTTTATGACCAAGTGAAGTCAACCAGCTGGTTTGGGACCTTGAGTCCACTGGCTGAATATTTGCTACATCAAACTCTGAAAACCATTAGGTAAGTTAAATACTAGGAGAAGTAGGAGAGTTGTCTTCATAATGAAATTTCATGTATGCTTGCTAAATAATGGAGAAAGGCAGAGACGGAAGGAGTCCTAAATCCAGTGGGAAGTTCTGAAGAGGAGTGCTTCAGCATTTATAAATATTTCTTGCACTGTACACCCTTTTTTCTTGCCTTTACACCTATCTGTGTACCCTCTCTTGGCATATCTTCTTCTCCCCTTCTGTTCCTGTTGACACACATCCCTGCCTTCCCATCTGCTTTCTACTCCTCTGTATTCAAGTCAGGGTGATTCCTCTGTCTGGATGCTGCGTATAACCACTGAAGTCTCAGAAGAAATGGTTTGTGTTTTCCAGCCCAGCGCCCAGTGCGGCGGCGGTGTTTGGCAGGCAGATATGGCAGTTACAGGAAAAGTTTTCTCAGCTCCTGCAGGCTTGGGATACGGCATGCTCTTTGCAGGCACCTTAGAGGAACAGCATAAGATGAAGCATGTGTAGTGCAGACAGAAACTTCAGAGAGCTTTACTGCCAGCTTCAATCAAACCTCCACTGAGCATGTGCATACTGATTTTTAGAGGCTTACAACTTGGCCTAATTTGGGCAGATTTTCAGAGGGACCACAAAAGGCATGTCGCTGACAGTGGTCCTTCTGCCAAATTGTAAGCCTTTGCGTCAAAGCTTAGAGTTTCTGAATGGTTATAGAGATTTTTTTTCTTTTTCATCATGGGGAAAGCTATTCTTCCCCAGCCTCATTCTTGAGAAAAGCCAAACCATTGTGGCTAAGTCTTTCCCAAACAGTCAGTTTGAGTTGGCCTTGTAATATGAAGTCAGTTTGATCTAAACCATGATAAAGTCAAACGCAGCAGAAAAGAAAAGCCTAAGAGAAAACTATAGGTGGATTTATCTTTTCATGTAGCTGCCTGCTCCACCCCATGCTGAAGTCCATTTTGAAGAACTTACGATAGACTCTGTTTTCACTTTGGCTGCCTGAACTATGCAGCCCTGCATACCGAGGCACGCAGCTTTTTAATTATGTTGATATGTGGCAATTGTCTTGTGGTGACTTGTCTTCTGGCTCTTGCGCTGGAGGCCTTTTTTAAATACGCCTTAGAAACCCAGAATGGGTGTTTCCAAAGTTGGTTTGCATGGCTGCCATGATTGCAGAAAGGGGTCTGTGTATCAGCTGTAACAGCAGCAGCAGCCACCCTGGGCTCGGGGCTGGGCCGTGTCTGTGTGCTGAAGGAAGTGTGCCCCCAAGCCCACCTTTTCCTACCATCCGCAGGCGGCTCTGGCAGCTCCTGTCCTTGGGCTGGGCCGTAGATGGTTGCAGGTGGAGTCATGAAGCTGTTTGGGCAATGCTTGGTGCTCCAGCAGATGTTCCCCAGCTCCTCTAGGGAGAAGGTGACGGGCCTTTTTTGCATAATACTTTAATACAGCTTACAGGCTATTCGTGGGAACTCACCACAGCGTGGGAACTACCAGCCTAGGCAACGTGTGCGCTAAAACTGTTAGTGCAAACCCAAGCGGTTGCTTTAAATATTCAAAAATACAGAAATCAGAACTTCAAAGTTGTAGCACCTGCAGATCTGTTCTGTGCTGCGTGCATGCGTCATGAGAGCTCTTGGCTCCCCTTCTGCTGCAGCAGTTCTCAACTGGGAGTTGCCAAGACTGGGGGGAAGGAGAGGGATGGACTGGTGAGGAGCAGAGGAGGGGAAGAGGTTCTAGGCAGTGTCTGAGTTAGGGGTGGGGCAGCACCGAGAGGCTTTGGGGTGCCCATGGGAGCTCTGCTCACTCTTGTCTCAGTCCCTTCTTGGCTTGTCCCTAGCACTTGAGCACCTCTTCAACGGGGTGCCCTGCCATTCCACTCTTGTGCGTGTTTCTTGTAAGCAGGTCTTGGAGAGAGGGAAAGGGGAGAGAGATGGGGCTGCTCTTGGTTTTTTCTGCAGAGTTGTTACACTGGTTTCAGAGAAGATACAAAAATAGAAACTTTCCCAAGTAGTCAATTAAAAACCAGTTTCATAAATTAAGACTGCCATGGTGTGTGTAAGCAAGGAGGTTGGTATTGCCCACTTTTTTGAGTATTTAGGTACACAGCACAAAATTGTGTGTACTGTGCATTTGCCATGGTGCAAAGTATGGCAGGCATCTATGTTTATGCTTTTAATAGCGTGCTGATGGTGAAATTATGCCAGATAAAAATGCCTGGCAAAATAAAGCAGATTAGTTATGATTATCGTACTTAATCATTTGGCTGGGGGAAGGAGAGGAACCATCCAAGAAAGAGATACTTCTGTCCCTTATATTGAGATTTGTTGTAAAGCTGGAAATGAACTTGTTTTCCAGAAATACTAAATGTATTTGTCTTTTGAAAGAAATACTTCTTGCAATTCATTGAAGAGCTAGTGGTCTGTTTGCTAGTAACTGAAGTGCTGTCAGACTATCATTGGTTTGCTAATTTTGATGAGCTTGAGATGCCGTTCTAGAATTAACTATTCGTGGTGAATACTTGAAAATTAAACAGTTCCAAGAATGCTTCTGAAATGTGTAAACTATTTTGTGTGCCCCAAGTCCAGGGGAAGTACAATCAGATGTTCCAGTTGATCAAAAAGTGACTTAAGATGTTAAATTTTATTTGCTGTGTATGATTTGGTGCTGAAATACATTACTTCACTCTGATCATTGGTAGGACTTGATACGATAACTCTTGTGGTCTCATGATTATTTTGAAATCTGATTTTATTTTTTTTGCTTTGGTTGGTGTTAACAGAATACTCCCAGCCCATGGTTACACCAGCCCACCCCGGTGACCTCAGCTGACAGCCTTGGTTTACTGAGTCACATTCCTGTGCGACCGTCCAGTGCAGATCCCCTTCGGCCTCTCAAACTGACAACGCATTCCAGCCCACCGTTGTCCAAAAGTATCGTAGAGCATCACAAAGAGTAAGTTTGCTGTTTAACTCTGTGTGAGAGTGTGCATTTCGGCAGCTGATGTTGTCTTACAGCTTCCTTTTAGTTTATTTGTAAACGTGGGTGCCTGTGATGGAGAAAAGCTTGTCAGTGTGCTGCAAAACAGACTCTGCCCTGTTGACTTGGAATGGTACTTGAGTTCCTGAGTCATCTGAAGACTTTTGAAAATTGTACCTAATATAAAGAAAAGTTTATTTTGTGTTAATGGATAACTTTGTTCAGGGCATGGGAAGAAAGGTCTTCCGTTTGGCACGTTGCGCTATGTTCAGACTAACCTGTGTCTGCTTAACCTTTTTCAAACAGAGAACTGGAGAGGAAAGCGTTTATTGAACCTGTACGTTCTGTTACAACCGCACCAGTAAAGACGGAGCTAGAGCAAAGCAGAACACAGACAGCAAAGGAGAGCCATATGCACAGACATTTTGCAGATCCAATGTTGAACCAGCTGCCAAGGCCACCACAGGAGACTGGGGAGCGACTGAGCAAATACAAAGAAGAACACAGGCGGATACTCCAAGAAAGTATTGAAGTTGCTCCTTTTACAGCTAAAATAAAGGCACTGGAGGGAGAGAGAGAGAACTATTCCAGGGTAACATCCTTATCTTCAAGTCCCAAGAGCCATTCGGTAAAATACGATAAAGACTCTGAACGCTCTGTGTCAGAACTGTATAAAATGAAGCATTCAGTTCCACAGAGCTTGCCGCAGAGTAACTATTTCACCACCTTGTCTAACAGCGTGGTAAATGAACCGCCAAGATCGTACCCTTCAAAGGAAGCTTCAAGTGCATATATTGATAAGCAAACTAATTGTCCTTCCACAGCAGCCAGTCCCCAGTCGCTCCCCTCTTACATTTCTTCTCTTTCAAAACCTCCACCTTTAATTAAGCACCAACCAGAGAGCGAAGGCTCTGCGAGCAAGATACCCGAGCAGCTTTCACAGTCAGTGCAGTCTCACTCTGTAAATTCTTTTAGGAGTGACAGCAGGAGCCCTACTCAGTTGTCAATCTCATCTTCAAATACACTCCGGAGTATGCCTGCCTTGCACAGAGCCCCCGTGTTTCACCCTCCTGTGCACCAGAACCTGGAGAAGAAGGAAAGCAGCTACAGCAGCCTTTCGCCTCCGACTCTAACTCCTGTTCAACCCGTTAACGCTGGTGGTGGCAAAATACAGGAGTTGCAGAAACCACCAACTTTAGTACCTGAGCCTAAGGAAGCTCAGACTGTTTACAAGGGCACTTCTGAACAGAATTTATCAGAAATCTGGAAGTCCAATAATGCCCCAAACAATGAAAAAGTGGATTGGCATGTTGAAAGAATGAGTGGAAAGTCACAGTCCGCTACAGCATCTGTTATTGTGCGTCCTCCTTCTAGCACGAAATACGATAGCGTACCAGTAATGCAGCCTGCTTCCAAAGATCGAGTTAGTGAGAGATCTTCAGCTGTGACAAATCAAGCAGATTGCCTGAAAACAGCGGAAGCCAGGGAGACTGGAAGAATCATTCTGCCAAATATGAACTCAGACAGTGCTCGCACACAGTATGAAAAGAAATTTCCAGCTGTCTCGCAAGGCAGCATTCCTCGTGCTGTCACCCCTACCACAACTATGATCTGCAGTACCAAAACGGATGTCACCGCATCGGCAGCAACAACTACCAGCGTGTCAAGCTGGGGTAGCTCAGAAGTGACTTACTCCTTATCGAACACGGTCTTGGCCTGCGCGCCGCTGGAGTGTACTGCCTCGAGAGCGGCAAGTCAGGCGGTGGCGCAGACCCAGGAATGCAAGGTCAGCACTCCAGCTCCGGTTACGCCCGCCGCTGGCAAGACAGGCAGCGCTGCTCAGCCCAGCTCGGGATTCTCCACCTCCACCGACTTTGTCCATTTGAAAAAGCACAAGGCAGCCTTGGCTGCAGCTCAGTTTAAAAGTAGTAACACCAGTGAGACCGAGTCCAACTCTGTGAAAAATCAGACATTTTCAACCTCTCTCTCCCTAGACAGTGCTATCGTCTGTAATACAATAAACAAAGCGAACTCTGTAGGCAGTGGGCAAACTTCCCAGACGAGTCAGCCAAACTACCACACTAAGCTGAAAAAGGCTTGGCTAACAAGACATTCAGAGGAAGATAAAAACACTAATAAAAAAGAGAATTCAGGGAACAGTGTTTCAGAAATTATTAAGCCATGTACTGTCAATTTAATAGCTTCTACATCAAATGATTTGCAGAATAACATAGATAGTAAAATCTTGGCAGATAAGTTTGCGAAGGAAGATAAGCACCCTCGGAGAAAAGCAAAACGAACTTATGAGTCTGGCTCTGAAAGCGGAGACTCTGATGAAAGCGAGAGCAAGTCAGAGCAAAGGACTAAACGGCAGCCCAAGCCAACTTACAAAAAGAAACAAAATGATTTGCAGAAAAAAAAGGGTGATGCAGAGGAAGAAGTAAAACCGAATGGTGTTCTTAGCAGGAGTGCCAAAGAAAAAAGCAAGCTGAAGTTACAGAGCGGCAGTAACAGCAGTGAGTATATTGGTCTGATTTGGAAGAGGCAGACTAATGCAAAGTCTAACAGCGTTAATCCTGGAGGGTTTGTCATGCATGATAGCTGGGAAAAGAGTTAAAAAGCACGCCTGTGTAAATTAGTAGGTCCAGATTTATCTGTCTTGAGGCCATTTGGAAACATCCTGGTTTAAGAAATTCAGCGGTTTGTATATATGTGCTAACAGACTGGTTCTTGGCCTAAAAATGAGCAGTAAACAAACTGGTTTGTGCTGTCCATCAGAATTCAACAGACTGGTGCATATAGTTCTGCCACTTGTGTTGAGAGAGAGAGAGAGAGAGAGAAAGATGTATTTTAAAAGACCTAATGCATTTATTTTTAGAGCGCTACTGGAGGGCGAGAATCTCTATTGTTGAACTTTAATTCATCCTTTGATCAGGAAGCCAGAGGCAGTTCCTTGAGAGCCTGATGCCACTCTGTTATGATTTGGTTAATTTAATGAAAGGTTTTAGAGAGAGCCATTTCACACTCCTAACTAGCATGTGTATTACATGGTGTTAACATCCCTCTTGTTTAAGGAATAAAGACGTTTAGGGAAATAGAAATTTCAATTTAAATGTAATGCTGTAGCATGTAGCAGATTGTAACTAGATTTATCTGAAAAGGGAAACTGGTCTGCCAGCATGAGGGATTTTATTTAAGAACTTAGCTTATTTTTTTATCCCAATTTATTCTTCTCCAAGGACTATTCTTTTGTCTTTGTTCGGGTTGAGTATGAGAAAAGTCTACCATTAAATTACTTTTCACAAGAAGTTTTAAGTACAGGTAGTAAGAAAATGAGTACTGCTCCCTGTAATTACATTCTCTGTCTTTTCACTGCCTAGTGTATAAAGTGACTCTCCTGGTATCTGAGAGGACTGGATGCCCGAGTTGTCCTGGGTGCTGGAAGTGTTGCAGTCTGTCTGAGGTGTTCTGGCTTGGGCCCAGTGGTAGTAGTATTACTCCCCTCCGCTCCCAGCTAAAGGGAAGATCAAGGAGAACATGCCTATAAAGTCTTTCCTGGTTTCACTTCTTGAAGTGAACTGTAAACGTATATGTGTAACATGTTAGGTCTTTATGACCTTTGTACTGTAGCAAAAGATTTTTTTTTTTTTTGTAGGCTTGTTGCAGAAGGATTGCTTACCTAAGTTAAGGGACGGCAGTCACTTCTTGTTTTGGCTAGTGGTACCTGAGTATGAAAGTGATACGTGATAATACATTATGGAACTGTTCCATGGAATTTAGGTCGGGAAATGGGTAGGAGTTGGTATTACATCCTGTTGTGAGTCGCACAGCTTGTGTTCTGCACATTAACAGCTTGGGCCCATCCTGTGGTAGCAGCTTCTTGTGCTTGCCACCCTCTTTTGAAATCTTAATAGACCTGTCCATTTCCCCTACCTGACCTATGAAATACATGAGCATTTCTGATACTCCTGTCAGTCTATCTTGAGAGCTTCGTTACAATTTCTGAGAGCATGCGCTGGTCAGAGATTTTCTTAAGAAAAGGACTTTCCACAAAGATTTATACAAAAATATAATCAATGTTGAGGAGCTTTCAGGAAAGCACAGGTCCTGTGTTTTTCCTGGGATGGCTGCCTTGGCTCCCCATGGGTGGCTGAAGATAACTGTGCTTCAGGATCAGGGGCTCGGTGGCAGTTTCACAGTGTGGGTGGTATCTGGATACTGCCAGGGTTGAAAACGGCTTTGTCCCGATGCCGTTTCGGAAAGCCCCGGGAGCCTGTGTGCTCGCCAGAGTGCTCAGAGCTCCAGGCTGCAAGGCCCCCTCCTGCAAAGCAAGACATTTTACAGTCCTGCAAGCCTTGGGGATCTTCCAAGTTCCTGCCCACAGAGCTTGAATTCTAGCAGCTCCCGGATGACTCCCAGGATCTCTGGTTCCAAGGCAGAAAACATTGTTTTGGACTAGCAAACCTGTACTTTTGCCTTTTCTACTCTCAAGTTTTCACCCAGTTACCACCATGCTCCTCGGATGAGTTGGGAGTGCGTTTTGTAGGTCATGAACTGAGGCACAGGCAGTCTGTCACTTGCAAGTTTGCACAAGTCATCTCTGGCAAAATACCGAGCTGAACCCAGGTACCAAGTCCAAAGTTAGCACCCTGACCTCTCTATCGTTCTACATCAGATCCCTGTTTACAGGCCATGAACTTTCAAGAGTAGTGGTAGATGAAATGACAAATACTCCTATCTATCCACAGATAAAACTGGTGCCACTTTTGAAAGTCATTAAAATGAAAGCCTGGTTAAATAACAGCATGGTTCAGTTTCAAAATGTGTATGTGAAAATTGCACGTATTACTCAATAGATTTGCTCCTCATGTTACTCGGTGTCGGGTCTGCTGACTTTCATATCAAAAATAGAATTGTAGTGCTTAGCCTTGCAAAGCCAACAAAGTTGACAAGAGTAAATGGATTCTGTTCTTCCTTATGCCGGATATTTTACATTAAGTTCAGATGAGTTATGTGTGATTGTCCTGCTCTTCTGTAATCATACCTGCATCGTTCAGCAAAAATAAATTCTGAAGAAGTAGGGTTTTTTTTTTTTTTAAGCTCTGGTTTCATTCATTAAATTGTTGCCTTTTTTGCATACATCTTCATTTGAAGCAGAATTCAAACCTTTCTTTCCTGCTGTATTGTATTTCTTCGCTTGTTTTGTGAGAAGGAGATTCTGAAGATGCTTTTAGTGCAACATTTGGTGAACGATATACCTAATACAAGAGCAGATACAGTGTCCTAGGTATTCCTCATGGCTCAGCAGGTAGTTAACTGTGCTTCTGCCTGTACAAGTCTAATTGGTAGCTATGCTTTTTAAACTTTGGTGCTGACAAATGGAAGTAATCATGAAATATGTTAGGCAGGCAACAAATTCAGAAGCATTGTCCGCTGACTGATCTGACTGGGTTCTGCGAATAGGGGCTGCCAGTACCTCATCTGAAACTCTTCTTCCTTTTGCAGCTGGTATACCTCGCTCAGTGTTAAAAGATTGGCGCAAAGTAAAGAAGCTGAAGCAAACGGGAGAGTCCTTTTTGCAGGATGATTCTTGCTCTGAAATAGGACCAAACTTGCAAAAATGCAGAGAATGTAGGCTAATAAGAAGTAAGAAAGGAGAAGAACCAACTCACTCACCGGTATTTTGTAGATTTTACTACTTTCGGCGGTAAGTACAGCTATTTCCTGACACTGTGGAGTTTTAACTTTTAAAAATAATACTGACGAAGGACTTGCATGCTTGAAAGCTTGTCTGATTTTTCTGGATCAGTCAGTCTGCCTGATAAAAGACACTGTCTAATTTAACAGCATTTACATTTGTATTTCTTACTTCTTTTGTGGATTCACTTTATTGCTGTTTAAAGCTTTATAGCAAAGACATCAGAACAGCTGCCCAGTGTACCTTAGGCAAGCAGAAAACACAGCACATCACCATTACACAGGTGTCTGACATTTGAAGTGGGATTTTCAAAAGGCGAGCTTCAGTCACTCTGGACAAGTTGTACAACCACATAGTTGCACTAATTCGTAATTGTTCTTTTGCCAGTATATGGTGGGAATGCTGCTCTGGGTTTCCTGGGAGTTTTCTAAGGACAGGGGAGTTGTGACCTCCTTTTTCACAATTACTGGCCAATCAAGAAAAACTCACAAGTTGGGAAGAAAATTTCCCAGGATGCAGCGTAGCATACATGGTGCAGGGAGAGCAGCTATCGAGACAGAACAAGGCGGCTTTCATTTGCACGTGGGTTGTGTTGTCAGTATGTACCCAACTTGTTTTAGACAGGAATTTATTCCCTGGATTGGGTATAATGTTTCATAACGAAGCTTTAGTTACAAGACTTGGTACTCTTACAGGAATCATTTCAAGGTTGGACTTGGAATACCTTCTACGCAAGATTATTTGCTTCCTAATGTGGCAGTGTCAGAGTTCTGGGTTTTTTTCTGCCCTGTATAAAAGAGAGAACATCAGTGATAAAGTTTTGCCAATTTTTTAAAACCCAGTTACGGAATAAAAAATTGGAATGTTTTGAATATAATGTGGTAAATTTTACAGCGGTTTAATTAATTTTCATTGTATTTAGATAGTAGGGATTGAATTGTAAACAAAGTTTGTGCTACTCTTGGAAGTCATTATTGTAACTGAAAATTCATTATTTCTTCTTGTTCACTAAATACACATCTGAGTATTGGTCTTGGTACTTAGTTCTGAATTCAGGACTATTTTACTGGCATTGCTGTAAAATTCCTTAACTATTATAATAATTGCATATGTATAATGAATTATCCTGTGTTATGCAAGATGGAATAATTAATTGTTACTGCTTAAAAATAGGCTAAATATAGGCAGGATTAGTGGAATGGTACTGGGTAGGATAACAGGAAAGCCTTTAGTTATTTTAAAGGTCAGAAATTAGCGGATACAAAAACGTTACCTTGTATTGGTGGTTTGTTCTGCCTAGAAAGACTTAAATATAGTGTTCAAACTCCTGGTTTCTGAGTTTGAGAGCAGTAGGAAAGAAAGATCTATAAAAGATGAGTCAGACTTGAGTGATTGTTGTTACAAACACTCTGAAAATTAAAGGTGAGGAATAGGTGGAACCAAACTTTGGCCAAAAAAAAAAAAAAGGATAATTTTCCTGTCTTCAATTTTAAAGCTGTAAGAAATGTTAGAGAGAATGAGGGGTAAACTGATTGCAGAAAGTGCCTAAAAAATTAGTTTTAGTTTTCATGCTTTCTTACTCTTGGTTTTAAAACCGTTTTTTGGCAGTAGGATTTATTTTTTAATTTAAAAATATGGCAGGATGCTAAAAAGGTAAAGAAAACCTACTTGTTGTAAGACATAAGCAGTCAGTTAAATTAGCAAGCAAACTGTAAATCTCAGAATATGATGATATATGCAGTTAAACTATCTGTTTTCATTTTTAGGTTATCTTTCAGTAAGAACGGAGTGGTTAGGATAGATGGTTTCTCCTCTCCTGATCAGTATGATGATGAAGCACTGAGTTTATGGACACATGAAAACTATGAAGATGATGAACTGGACCTAGAAACTTCTAAATACATTCTAGATATCATAGGTGATAAATTTTGTCAGTTAGTAACATCTGAGAAAACAGCCATGTCCTGGGTGAAAAAAGACGGTAAGGAAATCTCAAATGCTCTCAAGTGTTCTGCAGTTTTACTCCAGTGTTTGCGTTCATCATGGCCCATGGCTTCCTTTCGAGTAGCTCACTTCACCAGGCTGTCGCGCTGGATTTTCCTAGGCTATTTTGTAAGAGGGTATGTCGGGAAGGGGCAGGGACCTTCCTCAGTAAGCCAGCCCGTTCCCCCTCCCTGCGCTGGTGGCTGTGCTGGGCCAGGGCCAGGGCCAGGCTGCTGTTGGGGTTGGAACAGCCTTGGTTCCCAGCTTGGCTTCCAGCAATCCGGCCAGCTCCACGCCAAGCCCCACAGTGAGCCAGGTACCGACTCCTGCCAACAGACATTGTGTTTCTGACGTGTCTCCTTCCCAAAACAAAGGGGAATAATGTGACAGCGTGGGCCCCCGCAGAGCCTCCTCCCCACCAAAGCCACAGTCCTTCTGGCCCACAGCAGGTGGGCGCAGGCTTTAAACGGGCTGGTGGCTCTGCTGATTCCAGGCAGTACGAGGAGGAGGTGGGGCAGAAGGCAGAAGTACCAGCCCCAGCCAGGTCTCCAGGACAGGCACCTCCCTCCTGCCAACTTTAACCCATCCGACTCAGCAGTTTGGCTGCCTTTGAGATTAAACAAGTCCCATAGGCAGTCAGGTGAAAAGTCCAGCTCTCTTCATTGCATGGGGTTAAATGTATATGCTAAAGAAGTTTTTCTCTGTACTTGCAACCCGCTCATGTTGAGCAGAAATATTCTTTCTTTATTACTTCAGTATGTGTTTTTTGGATGCTTTGCTTTCTTTATAGTGTATTGACAGTAGCATTGATGGGGATGCTGTGTAATGCAACTAAGGGGGTAGATGTTGATGGTCTGTTTACGAAGGATCGCTTTCCTCCCCCCACATCCAGTTACATCTGAGGGGGAAATTATGAACGCTTCATCTATAAAGAACATTCATTCTGTGCTTTGCATTTAAATTTCAGTCCTTTTATTCTGCTTATTTTGTATTTCAGCCAAAATTGCATGGAAGAGAGCAGTGAGAGGAGTCCGTGAGATGTGTGATGCATGTGAAGCCACATTATTTAACATTCACTGGGTCTGCCAAAAATGTGGATTTGTGGTCTGCCTAGATTGTTACAAGGCAAAGGAAAGAAAAAGTTCTAGAGGTCAGTTCTTTATGAACTAGAGTATTGTGTATGCTGTTTATTCTCATTTGTTGTAGGGCTGCTGATCCACTAGTGTAACTGCCTTTCTGTAAAGTATCAAATTGCTGCTTGTGTGTTTTGATTTCTCTTAGATCTTTTTTGCCTCCTTTTTTGTCAGTAGATGTAGAATCAGTCATTCAGAAAGCAACTGCTGTGGGGGCTGTTCTAGGCCTTTGTCCGCTTCTCAGTCTTTTTGAGTGGATTGTCTTGGATTGCTCGTGCCTTGCCCCTCAAGGTTAAATTCTTGTTCTGGAGCTGTGAGACTGGCACTCCATTACACCTCCCTTGCTTTACGGGAACTCTTTGCTGTTAAGACGTGCCTTGATTTGAGCGCTTTCTGGAGTCCTCCCTTTAGAAGTACATGGTTTGCCGTACTGACTTAACAGCCTACTTTTTTTATTATAAAAAGAAGTGAATTGGAGAAAAATACTTCACATGGTATTTAAAATTAGCATTAGCGGAGGTTTCACAATCCAGCAGCCTACACGCATACTCGGTTTCATCGAATTCCTGTGCTTTAAAGGAAATGTCTAGCTTAGTCTGCAGTGAAGTGTAACAGGGCTGACTTGCAAACCTGTGATTTCTGAGTGACCCAGCCTGGTTGCAACCAAAAGCAGGAAT